AAATGGTTTGAAAAACATGTTTTAGAATTGATTCAAGCTAGCAACTGTAAGTCACTGCATACTAGAGCTATTTTATACTAAAAGTACAGAAACATATTAGTTGGTCAATCTGAACTTAGAAGAAACATGTCTTACACAAACTCTGATGAAATTGATAGTGTACACTGATTGTCTGGAAACACCCAGTCAATCAAACCTGCTCCATCAGTGGTGATACATGGTCATAACCACTGTGCCATCATTGAAAATATAAATATCACACTAAGAGGGACCACAGCCAGTACCAGAGTACAACATTATATCTACCCTCCAGGACACAAAGGGTAAGCCAACAGGAGTGTGGCTGCTAATCAAATTATTATAACATGAGTCTGTGTGTATCTCAGTGTAGGTGCCAGTGTGTGTATCTATGTGTCAGTGTGTATGTGCCAATGTGTGTGTCAGCGTGTATCTGAGTGTGTGTGCGTGTCTGTATCTATGTGTATGTGCCAGTGTGGGCATCTGTGTGTATGTGCCAGTGCATGTATCTGTGTGTGTATATGCCACTGTGTGTGTCATTGTGTCATTGTGTATACCTGTGTGTCAGTGTGTGTATCTGTTTGTCAAGGTGTGTGCATGTGTCCGTATGTGTAAATAGTTGTAATATGTTGTTAAATAGTAGTGTTCTGTCATAATAAAATGTAATGACCTTGTTTATATATGCTTGGTGGCTGTGTTTGTGTGTGTGTGTGTGTGTGTGGAGCATGCATGTGTGGGGTGATGAAGGTCACACGTGTGGGGGGGTTGCTGTTGTTGGTGAAGCCACCTCCCTGACATTATTTTTTTTTCCGTGTGTGTGTTTATCAATTAATCAGAAGTAAACTTTTCAGCTGCACAGTCTGCACCAATTGAAATCTTTACCACAGGGGTGGAATTTATTTTATAAGTATTGCAAAACACCATGCAAGCAGGTGAATTGATTATAGCAATGATTTATGCCAGTTGCTTCAGCTATAAACATCTAAGCTCAGATAGATTGTGATGTACAACTAATCTATGCAAGTTCTTTATCGTGGTGCTCGAAGTGTCCTTTTAATTGTCGAGGGGGTTAGCAAATGAGAACTTTAGAGGTATACAGATTACAACATGTTGTCTGATATAGAGACATACAGATTACAACATTTTGGCCGATATAGAGACATACAGATTACAACATTTTGGCCGATATAGACGTCCTTTCTCAAGTCAAGACTGCATTTGGAAGTTAAAGGAATTCTATAGTGCACGCCCCTCCCAAGTGTCCCGGTCTCATAAATGGTTAAAAAATCTTTGTTCATTTACCTTATCCTAGCACTGATGTCCCTCCTGATCCCGAGCACATTAGGCCCTCCCCCATAGGAAAGCACTGCTCCAATGCTTTCCTATGGGGATTTTACTGACATTGAATGTCTTCATGCAGTGTCGGTTAGCCACCAGAAAGTGCATTAGTGGCTGATTGTCTTAGTCCTGCAATGTAATTATTGCAATTTCTCAAAACCTACAATGATTTACATTGCAGGACTAAGTGGGAATGGGACACTGCACCCAAACCACTTCAATTAGCTGAAGTGGTCTGGGTGAATATAGCGCCCCTTTAAGGAGGTTTGAAACCCCCTAAGCCTGGAGCACAGTATATTGTTTGTATTAATTACCTCATAGGATGTGTGCAGTCCCTGCTGGAAACATATTTGATACGTACAGTTTGAGGTCAGGAGGCACATATACATATCATGTTCAGAGTATAGTACCAGCAATATAATGACAAGTCTGGTGTATTGTATAGAACAGGGGTAGGCAACCTACGGCACTAGTGCCATGCACGGCACTCGATGTGTCTTTGCACGGCACTCAAGGCTGCTACAGCCAAACAGGCTCTGGCCTATCAGGAGTCCCAGTAAAACTTCAAATATCTGCTAATACGAAAAGATGGTGAAGGACAATCCTCAATTTAAGCATTGCAGCACATAGAGGAAATGATCTCAGATCACTTCCTCCCAGCACTTGTGAATGGGAATCCACAATGTAGTAGAGCAGCCTACAGCTGCTGTTGCAGCTCCTGTCTTTGACCTGTACCAGGCCAGCCTGGTCCCCACTGGAACCCATGGAAGCCAACCATACTGCTAGATATACACAGATATTGTGGATCAAACCAAGTGTTTATCTGAGTATCTGCTCCTTTCCAAATTGTTAAAATAAATGCGTGCACGCTCTGAAGTAAATTACACTGAGACACAAGTATCAGGTTAATGAAAAACTTCGGAATGTTTACTCAGGGAGCGGCAAGCCCCTTATAAAGGCAAAAATACATCATATGCAAAAATGTAGATAACAGAGAGAATACATATTTAATTGGTTAGGTATTAAGTGTCTTATCTAATGCACATCCTACGAGGTGTGATGTCACCATCATCCTGGGATTTTACTCCGGATGTAGGTGCCATCTTGTTACACGAGGTAGTTAGTCGGTGGGAGGGGGTGCTCTAGCAGCCATTTTGAGTAGATATTGAATACAGGTATACACAGTAAATAGACATTTTACTATCACTAATTTACATTCATAACACATTCCCCTTATACAAATAATATGAACAGCCCACACACAAACATACACACAATCTGCACAAATGTAACCCGCTAACAATCCACATACATGCACACAACCCCACATGCAGCCTCTCACATGCAATACCCCAAACAGCCCACACACACTACCAAACACACAATGGGACATATCCATCCACACACAATTCCACAAGCAGCCCTCATACACATCCCACATTCATATGTATCATACACGATACCATAAACTGCTAATGAACATATACAATATAATAGCTTATATACGCACAAATACAACGATACAAAGCAAATACAGTAAAAATAACACAAGCAGAATACGGCAGCATATACACCTCAATTTTAAAAAATAGGACCGGCACGCTACGGGACATCACAATCCTATATCGGCACAGTGCTGCTAAAAGGTTGCCTACCCCTGGTATAGAACAACCAAACAGAAATGTAATGAAGAGGTGCGCCAAGCAACATACTGGAGAACTTTGAGCACGTAATTCTGGGAAGTATCGTATAGCTTAAACCAGAAATGAATTCATCCTTTAACTGTCACCCAGTCCTATTTCACATAAGACACACTAGGTAGTTTCTTTTTTTTTTTTATTTATCCCTTAATATAAAAATATCTTATAAAAATTTCAGAAAGTGCCTAATTCACTAACCAAACCATACTAGCTGTCTGAAATAATTAGTATTTTCACACAATATAACACAGAAGTCAATACTTTTTGGAAATAAAAGAAGCGAGGTGCATGGAGAACTGTATGTACCATAGGAACCAGAGAGCAGCAGGCATTTTCTCCGTAGAACCCAGGTCTGGTAGAAGAACCAGCAGAGGGAGGTTTGCCTTTACGGGCAGAAAAGTCCAATCACTGCTTTTCATCTTCCTCTCTCCTTTTCAGCTTAAAAATTGGATCATGCCACTTTGTTAATTTGGGCTCGAGAGCACTCCGCACATTTTTGATTTATCTGAATACTGGTACAGACTACATTTTTCCAGAAGTACCTGATGTGGAATCAATCAATCAATCAATTGATTATCTTGCGTATCTGCCCCCGGCCAAATTTAAAAAGATGCGTGCACGCTCCTGAAGTAATTCACACCAGACGCAGGTTTCGGGTTAATGAAAAACTTGAGGAATCTTTATTCTGCGGGGACGGCATGCCCCTCATAAAGCAAAATTACATCATATGCATTATCAGAGATAAAACGGAATAATACATCAATAATTGGTTAGGTGTTAAGTGGTTCATTTAGTGCCCTTCCTACCGGGTGTGATGTCACTGGTATCTTGGAGGTCTCCCCTAGATTTCAGCGCTATCTTGTTAATGAGGGTGTTAATCGATGTCAAAGGGAAACCCCCTAGGGGCCATTTTTAGGTAAATCACGTATAAGGTTGAATAATGCTGATTGTGGCATTTTATTAATATGACTTGGGTTAATATTTTTGTCCACAACAGTACCTATATACCTGTTCCTCCATTATCAGATTTATTATGCACTTCCCTGCATTCCTTTAAACTAATGTATTCAATGCTAATCACAACTCCCTAAATTTGATCTACTGGGCATGTTGTATACCTTCCTCATTTTTCACTTTCTTATATTATATATATATTTGATCATTGAGACTGTAAATGTGTAACCTTCTTCGTTTTATACATTTATTTTCATTTTGTAAAGCATAAATATGAAACCACATATACTCTCCCATTTTAATTGAAACCCCACCACCAACAAGATGGCCCTATAGTCATATCAGAGGCCATTTCCCTTCTCCAGATCAAACCAATTCATTTCAAATGATGATTAATTAAAAAGAACATGAGAAATAAATATGAATTAATGCTATATTTATTTATTATATTTAACAGTAATAATATAATTTTACAGTCTCTAATAGGAAAAGCGAGGACTTGGGCGCCAAGATAAATCTTGGATATTATTAAGAATTTGACCAGGTAACAGCCAAGATATGGGCGACCTCTGGACTCACGAAGAGTCATCCTTCAGCACTCAGGAAAGGAAAAACCTCCTGTGGAGGAAACCTCTGGGGAACCATGGCTGGAAGGACTGCCCTTCCCTCTGGGCATTAAGAGGCAAATACAGAGAATTCAATAGATACAGGGCTTACTCTTTTATAAAATATTTAGCTTGGCAGAGAGACAGACAGACATAGGGAGACAGACATACATATATAGACATACATAGACAGACATAGAGACAGACAGAAATAAACACAGACATATATAGAGAGACAGACAGAGAGACATAGACACAGACATATATAGAGAGACAGACAGGGAGACATAGACACAGACATATTCAGACAGGCAGACAAACTCAGACATATAGAGAGAGACAGACAGAGAGACATAGACACAGACATATATTGAGACAGGCAGACAAACTCAGACATATATAGAGAGACAGACAGAGAGACATAGACACAGAGATATATTGAGACAGGCAGACAAACTCAGACATATAGAGAGAGACAGACAGAGAGACATAGACACGGACATATATAGAGACAGAGAGACATAGACACGGATATATATAGAGACAGACAGACATAGACACAGACATATATAGAGACAGACAGATATAAACACAGACATATAGTGAGAGACTCACAGAGAGATATAGACACAGGCAGACAGACATAGAGAGAAAGACAGACAGACATAGGCAGATTACTGAAGCAGATTAAACAGAGATTGATACATACCGATAGCTTGAAAAAAGCACTGATTTTTGCTAATGGGTATACGCGTAGCTGCACAGAATATAATGCCCCCAGCTAGAACCTCCATTGCTAAGATTAGATTGAGGGTAGTCAAGCTCCAAGTCTTCAGACACATCCAAGTGATCTCTAAGCGATTGAGAAGGTACGAGAACCATTAATATAGATGAAGCTTTGTCAAGGTCTCAATTGTAACTGGGAAAAAATAGAATGTTTAAGCAGTTACAGCAGCAATTTTGTTTATGACATCACAGCATGACATCACCTATTATGATTCCACTGCTAAGGATCACAGCACCTGGGGTGAAGATTGTCTTTGTTAACATATAAGGGGACTATGATGAATAGGTAAAATGAGTCATTACAATCAGTATAAATTCTATATGAATCTAAAAGTAAATTTTAAATCTCCTTACCTTTTACACTTTTTTGTCCCTCTTAGAGATACCATTTTTATTAGCATATCTATTATTATTTTTTAAATCTATTTCCATCCTAGTATTATCTCAATTCAACTGTCATCCAGAACCTGTGTCTTCTCTTTTTCCACCCCCATCCCATATACAGAAATTCACAGATTATATTTCCCCTATTACTATTCCTGTCACATCATGCCTTGTTCTGCGGATCATTCTGGCAACGGCTTCTGGTATCCAGTACTCTTTTTACAATTATTGTTTAGTTTTTCTTGGTTTTCTTTTCTATGTCTGGTTTTCTTTGTTGCTGGGTTTCTGGGTTCATTCCTATATTCCGTCTCTGGATTTCCCAGTCTCCAGGATTCATTTAAATGTTTGTTTTATGTTGCCACACCCGTTTGTTTTCCATTTTCCTTTTGTTTCAGCCTGGACCTGCAGCAGTGTTTCAAGTCTCTGCCCTTTCTTGCAGGTAAGTGCTATTGTGGTTTAGTATGGTTCTTTTAGCAAACATTAGTGTAGGACCTGCCGAATATGGGGCACATTGGCGTTGTGGCAGGCTTATGCAATGTATGATCATATAATGTAACTAAATCCCCATACTTTTCAGATGTAGTGCTTAGTTATGTCTCCTCTTGTTTTACCTTGTATCTCTTGTCTTGTTTTATTTTGTCTTGTAATCCCAGTTCATGTACAGTCCTGTCCTGTCCTGTTCTTGTTTTCCTAACGTCTTGTGTACATGTTCTGGGTTCTGCTTTCTGTCGTGCTCTGGTTCTGGGTTCTATTAGTTCTGTCTTGTTTTCATGTTTGGTGACTATCCTAGCCTTGCCTTGTTTCTGTACTGGATACATTCCTGCTGCAGAGGCTCCATATTCAGCTCCTGGGAGGTCTGCTTAATTCCTGCTCCTAGTTCCTGGGATCCGCAGTAGCTGCATCAGGGTTCTGGTATGTGGCCGCACAAACGCTGGTGCTCAACACCAGAGGGCTAGTGGTTACCCTGCACCAGGCCCTGATAGTCCATTTCCACGCTGAGACTCCCCACTCCACTTCAGGCATACTGGGTCCCGGGCACCGGACCGCCACCCGTGACAATTCCTCAAAATACTATATTCAGACATTTGTAGTGAGTTAACAAATTGCAATAGTTAAGTGTGCTGATGGGCTATGATTAAGGGATGGGGTGCTGGAGTGGGGCTATGATGAAGAGATGGGGTGCTGTGGAAGGGACTGTGATGACGTTTTGGGGTAGTGAGAGAGGGGCTCTGATGAAGATATTCAGTGCTGTGGGAGGGAATGTGATGGCTTTTTGGGGTAGTGAGGGAGGGGCTATGATAGAGATATGGGGTGCTTGTGGAGGAGCTATGATAAAGCCTACTGTGCCTCTTAACCCCTTTGTAGCTCTTACTTTCCCCCTTTGTGTCTCTTAATTCCCTTTTTGTGTCACTTACCCTATTGCATATCCTACTCACCTATGTTTCTTACCCCACTTGTGTTTCTTAACCCCTTTGTGTTGTACAGCCCCCCATTTTGTCCCTAAACCCTCTGTGTGTTTCTCTCTCTCCCCACTTTTGTGACTCTGTCTCACCCGGTCAGTAGCATGGCCCTACTGACTGTGTTAGAGGATCTTTATGCTCTAACAGGAAGCTGTTCGCTGCTCATTCCCCATCCCTCCAGTCACAGAGAGCAGCTCCCTGTCAGACCGGGAAGAACTAGAAGAAGATCCTCAACCACGGTCCATGAGGCCACACTACAGAGAGTGCCTGGTGGGAGGGGTAACTCTGTAACTTTGATATTGCGGTCCCTGGGCTTGAGCATCCTAACACCCTGCTTGCTTATGTCCTACAATAGAACTATGATGTAAATGTGTAAGTAAAGGTATGATGCATATGTGTTTATGATGGGATATGCTCAAAATCATATAAATAAGTCACAGAAGTTTTGGTATTCTGTTCTGTGAAGCAATGAAACAAAACTGGAACTTTTTGGGCCAATGGATCAGTGGCATTTCTGGAGGAAGAAGACTGAAGTATACGCTCAAAAAAACACTCTGCCTACAGATAACCTTATACTAATCCTCCTCTTTCTCTTACTGCAAACTGATGGTATCCTCATCAGCCCATCCTTGCAAGCTCGCCCTTGTCCATCCCTTTCTTGCACAAGATGCCGCTAATGAGCTTGTTCAGGCTCTAGTCGTTTCTTGCTTATATTTCTTCAATTCACTCCTAATTGGTCTCTCCAGAAACCATACTGCCTTGATTCAGTCTGTAATGAATGCTGACGCCAGGCTGATTTTTCTATATTTTCGATCCTCTCATGCCTCACCTCTCTGTCAATCCTTAAATTGACTTCCTGTACCCTATAGGAGTCAATTCAAAATATTAACCATAACCTATATAGCTTTAAACAACTCTAGCCACTGTTACATTTCTTCACTAATTCGTATGTATGCCCCAATTCTCGGTCTCTCCACTCTGCTGGTGACCTACTCTTATCTGCTGCTCGCACCCTTTCTGCTAACTCACACTTGCTGGTCTTCTCACGGGCAGCCTCGTTCCTTTGAAACAGCATGTCTACCCCCGTAAGACTCTCCCCTAGTCTTTAATCATTTAAGACATCCTGTTAACCCCCCTCTTTAGAAAAGCTTATGACCTGCTAGAGTAACTTCTACTTTCACAATCGTGTCACTTGCTCTCTCTTAAAGGGTCAGACTCCACTCTCACCTGCCAGTTCTTCTAATTTCCTACCTTGTTGTTTGGTTGCTATCCCCCGATGCCTTTCCTATTGTGTTTTTATACCCCACTTTCCTCTGGATTTTAAGCTCTTTCAATAAGGGTCCTCATCAACCTATTGATCTTGTAAGATTTTGTAGTTGTCTCAATTATTTTCAAATGTTACCATTTTTATAATATTATAATGTGCTGATGAATAAGTTGGCGCCTTAAAAATGCCAATAATAATAATAAATGATCAAGAAACTTAAATATGTTACTTACACCTCAACATTTGTCTTATGTGATCAACTTACCATATAAATATAGTTTATTTTTCTTCTAATTTTGAATGTATGAATCAGTACTATTATAATTTCTTAGCAGAAACTAATGTCAGGTATGCACAAATATGTACCATTCCCTAGGCAAACACAAGTAGTGGTTGATTAATATTTACTCAATTTGTCACATTAACACTCCTCAAATTTTTCACCATATTTAATTTCTATTATAACAAATCTTTTGCTTGACTTCCAAAATGACAAAGAAACCTTCACTTTTTCATTTCTAAAATAAGCATAAGAAATCAGAGTTATACCTTTGAAACAACCACTTTAACCACATTTATGGTTACATAGCACCTACGGGAAAAGTTTGAAAGGTAAAAAAGTATATATATTAAAATTAAGCTTACCATTTTATTGTTTAGCACAACCTGTAACCACAAGTATTTAAAAAATGTGAAACAAGATTTTGTCTCCGTTCGGTATAATGATACATATTGTGTAGCTAATTCTGAGCAAATTGATGTGTATATAGGTTTCACAATTCTTTTGTGCATAGATTACATCACAGGACATTATGCATTATATTTTTGTGACTATTTTTTTATATTTCAATTGTATGTATGTCAGTCATTACACAAATATTGCTACTGACGTTTATGAGAGCAGAATAGAGAATACTTGACGTTTTTTCTGTAATTTACTTTATTCGAAGAAAGTACAGACTGTGCTTCTGTATTTAATATCACACAAAATTCACATTCTACTTAAAAATTTAATATTAAATTGTAATTTAGCTGTAATCTATTCATGAGAAATGAAATCAATATTTGCTAGATAATATATTTAATATGCGCGGTATCTTAATTATTGAGAAGTTAGAAAGTGAATATGTTGGCTCTGCGAAGTATAAAGCTTGGATTGTATCCAGATTGTGAACAGCAATACACACTTATCAAACTCATTTAAAAACCTAATTGCGATCTAATTGTTTCTATACAAGCAATTTAACTTTCGGTGCTTTGGAGTGTTGCTTTATAGCTTTCTCGGTGTCACAATGAAAAAGTACTTTCCCATAATGATTTAACCTTAGCATATGAACTTTTTCTCTAAATAAACAAGGGGATTTCAAATTTTTGTGGGCTTTTCAGAACAGTTTTGACAGTACAGAAAGCAGTAACAGATGAATTGCGCCTATTGGCGAATATGTTAATACGTTTTTTATTTTGTACTTTTAGTTAATTACATTACAATTCCTTTTCTATCTCATTGCATGTAAAAAATAATGGTGGAATACATTATTCTCCTGAAATATAAAGAATGAACCCCTTAAGGACTGAGCCAATTGTACAAGTTGTGATCAAAACATAAACAAAAAGTGGAATTTGCGCTATATGTCTGTTCAACCATAATTGACCTCTTTCATATTAAAGGACCACTATAGTGCCAGGAAAACATACTCGTTTTCCTGGCACTATAGTGCCCTGAGGGTGCCCCCACCCTCAGGGTCCCCCTCCCGCCCGGCTCTGGAAAGGGGTTAAACTTACCTTTTTCCAGCGCTGGGCGGGGAGCTCTCCTCCTCCGATCCTACTCCGATCCTCCTCCTGGGCTGAATGCGCACGCGAGGCAAGAGCTGCGCGTGCATTCAGCCCG